GATATTGAGAATTTTGATCAGTTTTCACAAGAATTCAGAGAATATCTCACAAGAACAAGATCCCATGAGAGTGTTTGTGAACGCCAAAGACTCGATTTCCTTAAGAAAGGATATGACTTACTGATACAAAATGCAAAACGAAATCTAAAGAAATATTTAGAGGAGCAGCATAAAAGGGAGGAAAAATCAGAATATTCCTACCGCTCAAGGACGACTTCAACCAGGAGTAGCCAATCATCTATCATCGCTAGAAAGTCCGCAAAGGCCGAGGCAGCAAAGGTCAGTTTACAGTTCGCTAAGGAGGCAGCAGAACTGAAGAAAAAGCATGCCTTGATCGAGCAGCAATATGCATTAGAAACCGCCAAAACCAAAGCACACGCAGAGACAGAAGATCGAGACACAGGCTAAACTTGAGTTACTGAAAAAAGAACAAGAGGCAGCGGAGGCCAAAGCGGAAGTAAGTGTATTGAGGTCGTTTGACGGAGACGAAGACGCTTCGCACAGATCGCTACCGTCCCTACCGGAAAGCGATTCCCACACAAAGACAAAAGATTATGTAGCAAATCTTACAATTGTTCCTCCTCAGGACTTCGTCAAAAGGACAAGTGACCAACAAACTTCTAACATGGATGATATGGTCGGTAATCACAAGACATTCGGGGACCTCTATCGCAGAGACATTCACAGAGAGCTACACTCTGTTCCTCCAGCTAGCGCTCACCCCGTGGGTGTACCACAAGATTTTCCAGCCAGTTCATCCTTGAATCCTGAAGCGCCATCTTATAAACCCACCAACTCAAGCCTATCATCGGATTTCACAAAGTTCCTCCTCAAGAAAGATCTCCTTCTAACTCGTCTAACTACCTTCAATGATAAACCTGAGACCTATGCATCCTGGAAAAACAGTTTTAAAAACATAATGGAGGAACTGGGAGTTACTCCAGTGGAAGAGATTGACTTACTTGTCAAGTGGCTGGGGAAAGATTCACAAAAGTACGCTCAATCCCTAAAAACCTCCACATCAAACGATCCTATAAGAGGTCTTCGCCGTATTTGGGAAAGACTGGATGAAAGGTTTGGAGCTCCGGAAATGGTTGAGGCGGCCTTAAAGTATAAAGTTGACAGTTTTGCGAAAATCACCTCTAAGAACTTTAAGTCCCTGTACGACTTGACTGATATATTGAGTGAAATAGAGTCGGTGAAAGAAGACACCAAGTTCAGTTCTCTTCTGGGATATTATGATTCATCATCTGGTGTAACCCCTATCGTCAGAAAACTCCCCATGAATCTCCAAGAAAAATGGACTACAGCGGCTGTCAAGTACATTGAAGAACATAATGTGCCATACCCTCCATTTTCTATATTCGTCGATTTCATTAGAAGGCTAAGTAAGACGAAGAACAATCCGAGCTTTATTTACGACAAGGAATTTTCCTCAAACAAACCAAATGAGAGAACTGGAATTTCCGCTTTGAAAACCAAGTTTGTTGGGACGTCACTTGAGAAGCCACAATCTGATCCCTCTATGAAATGTCCATTACATCACTCAAATCATGGGCTAAACAAGTGCAAGGCTTTCCGTTTCAAGTCTCTCGAAGCAAGGAGGAAATTCTTGAAAGAGAATGGAATTTGTTTTCGTTGTTGTGCATCTACATCACACACTAGACGAGACTGCAAGGTGGCCATTAAGTGTGAGGAGTGTGGGAACGACAGGCATCCGACAGCACTTCATGTAGACTTCAGAGCATCAGACGGGTTACCACGCTCTACCCAACCTTCAGAGAGAGATCCCATTGTTAAGAACTCTAGTCCTTTGACTCCTTCAGCTTTGCATGGTGGGGAGGAAACTGTAACTGCTGAAATACCTAAACCAGCTGCAAAGACACTGTGTACTCAGATCCAAAAGGGAACCTTTAACGGAACATCGTGCTCAAAGACACTTCTAGCTCATGTGTACAGGAAAGAAAATCCAGAGGACCGACTAACATTATATGCCATCATTGATGACCAAAGCAACAAATCGTTAGTTAGCCCTGAATTCTTCAAGCATTTTTCAGACGTCTATGGGTACACTTCCTACACCCTATCTTCTTGTATGGGTCGTATAGATACTTATGGTAGGAGAGCAACTGGATTTGTTATAGAGTCATTTGATGGAAGTTGCACCCTTGACCTTCCCACATTGATTGAATGTGACCAAGTACCCGATTCGAAGGACGAGATACCAACATCTGATGTTGCCTATCACTACCCACACCTGACTGAAATTGCTCATCATTTCCCATCAATCGATGAGAGAGCTCAAGTGTCCTTACTGATTGGAAGAGACTTACCTGAGGCTCATCACGTGCAAGCCCAGATCACAGGACAAAAAGGAACTCCCTTTGCACAAAAACTTGCTCTAGGCTGGACTCTTATTGGTGAAACGTGTATAGGTAAATTCCACAGACCAGACATTCATGCGTACAAGACTTCAGTTCTAGGAAATGGTAGAAGTACAATGTTCAAACTTTGTAACAGTGAGTTTGAAGTTAAAGAGAAGTACAAAGACTTTGGCTGCACCGTATTCCAGAAATCCCCTGATGACGAAAAACCAGGACTGTCTAGTGAAGACCGGGATTTCCTAAGATTAATGGACAATGATTTCACAAAGGACTGTGAGGGATACTGGACAGCGCCATTGCCCTTCCGTTCGTACCGGCCAAAACTCCAAGATAACAAGGTACAGGCGTTGAAAAGGGCCAGGAGTTTACATATTAACATGGAGAAGGATCCCTTAAAGAAGGAACACATGTTCACCTTCATGCAAGGTATCCTTCAGAATGAACATGCGGAGATCGCTCCCCCCATCCAAGGAGACAAAGAAAGATGGTATCTCCCAATATTTGGGGTCTACCACCCCAAGAAACCGAACCAAATAAGAGGAGTCTTCGACTCATCAGCTAAACACTGTGGCGTATCATTAAACGACGTCTTACTCTCTGGGCCAGATTTGCTGAACAGCCTACTCGGTGTGTTGATGCGCTTCAGACGTGAACCCATAGCCATTATGACTGATGTACGGCAGATGTTTTACTGTTTCCGAGTGAAGGATGAACACAAAGACTACTTACGTTTTCTTTGGTACTATGGGAATGACCCTAATGCAGAACTGATTGATTACAGAATGCGTGTTCACGTTTTCGGGAACAGTCCCTCTCCGGCTGTGGCCTCTTATGGACTGAAAAAGATAGCATGTCTCAGTGAAGGGACCTTCGGGGAGGATGTTGCAAATTTCCTACAGCGGGATTTTTACGTAGATGATGGTTTAACCTCTCTACCCTCGGAGGCTCAAGCCATTGACCTTCTTATGAGGACACGCTCAGCTTTACACAAAGAAGGAAGGTTGCATCTCCATAAAATTGCCTCCAATTCCCGTGCAGTGATGAAGGCCTTTGGTACTGAAGACTTGGCCAAGGAACTTAAGGAATTGGATATTGGTGAGGGGGCCCTACCAGTTCAAAGAAGTTTAGGAATCAGCTGGAATTTAGATACAGACTCGTTCTTGTTCTACCCATCATCTGAGGTGAAACCGGCCACGAGACGAGGAGTACTTTCCACTGTCAATAGCATCTTCGACCCTCTCGGATTTGTAGCACCAATTACTGTACAGGGTAAGCTGTTCCTTATCACTCATACGTAGCTCCATTGACTGGGACTCACCATTGACAGATGAGCAAGTCACCTGGTGGAATGAATGGAGACAATCACTGGGCTTACTTACAGAGCTGAAAATACCTCGAGTCTACACAAGTATGTCCTTTGCGAGCTGTGATTCAAAGGAGGTCCACATGTATTGTGATGCATCTGAGCATGGTATAGCAGCTGTAGGCTACCTACTAGCTAGGAGGAAAGACCAGAAAGAGCTGGGATTTATACTTGGAAAGGCGAAAGTGGCTCCCTCGCATGGCCACACAATACCCCGCCTCGAACTCTGTGCAGCCGTCCTATCAACTGAAATTGCGCAATACATATCTGAACAATTAGACATTGACTTAAGCAAGTTCTTGTTTCATTCGGACAGCAAGGTAGTTCTCGGCTACATAACTAACCAATCACGGAGGTTCTACACATATGTGAGCAACAGAGTGGCACGTATACGACAAGTCACCTCACCAAACCAGTGGAAGTATGTATCCACAAATAACAACCCTGCAGATGTGGCTACACGTCCAATGAATGTAGCAGACTTGAAGGATAGTATGTGGCTAAACGGACCCCCCTACCTTTCACCCTGCAGTGATTCTTCAGAAGAGATTCTTTATGAATTGCAGAACCCTGACTCCGACAAGGAGATTAGACCATTTGTAACATGTATGAAAACCACCCAGGTTACGACAAACCTATCACTCGGCTCACACAGGTTTTCAGAGTTCTCAGATTGGAAGAAACTCATTGAGTCCATTGCGAGATTGAAACATGTGGCGCAGAGTTTCAATGGACTAGGACCTTGTACAGGTTGGCATTCCTGTAAACTCACGAAATCAGTCCCATCTTACAAAGAAGCAGAAAAAATTGTGCTCAAAGTTGTGCAAAGAGAATCTTATCAAGAAGAAATCAACAGTATTCAAGAGAAAAACATTGTTCCCTTGGACAGCTCTTTGAGAAAATTAGACCCATATATGGACTTAGATGGTGTGCTAAGAGTCGGTGGTAGATTAAATAGAGGAGACCTATATCAAGACGACAAGAACCCTATTATTGTCCCTTCTCGACACCATGTGGCCAAACTTATCGTCGAATACTATCACAGGAGGTCAAGACACCAAGGCCGACACATAACTGGTGGCGCAGTGCGTTCTGCAGGATTTTGGATTGTTGGCAGCAAGCGACTCATCTCGTCAATTTTGTACAAGTGTGTCATATGTCGGAAACTACGTAGAGGTGTTGAGAACCAAAAAATGGCTGATCTACCCATAGACCGCACTCAACCAGGTCCCCCCTTTACATATGTGGGCCTCGATGCCTTTGGACCTTGGAACATAGTCACCAGACGAACTCGTGGGGGAGTTACAAATTCCAAGAGATGGGCCATACTGTTTACCTGTTTGACCACTAGAGGTGTGCACATAGAGGTCATTGAGGAGATGAGTGCCTCCTCCTTCATCAATGCTTATAGAAGATTTGTCGCACTTCGAGGTCCTGTAAAGCAGATAAGGTCAGACAGGGGCACAAACTTTGTTGGTTCAACCAGCGACCTCAACATCAACACCATTAGCGTTGAAGATGGACCTGTGAAATCTGCCCTGTATGATAATGGCACCACCTGGATTTTCAACCCTCCTCACTCATCACACATGGGTGGGGTTTGGGAGCGTTTAATCGGCGTCGCCCGACGCATCCTTGACTCTATGTTGTTGGAGAGTTCTATGGTCAAGGGACATTTAACTCATGAAGTACTTGTGACTTTCCTTGCTGAGGTTACCGCGATTATGAACTCACGCCCACTCACAACAATGTCAACAGATCCTGATGACCCTTATCCACTCAGTCCGTCACTCCTGATCACCCAGAAACCGGATGTCTTGGTATCACCATTAAATATTGCGTTCGACTCTAAAGACATGTACCGTTCACAGTGGAAAAGGGTACGACACCTGGCGGATGTCTTCTGGAGTAAGTGGAAAGATGGGAGGAAGTGGCAAAAGGACCAGAGGAATGTTTCAGTTGGTGATGTTGTGTTGATGGTAGACAAACAAGCACCGCGTATTCAGTGGCCTTTGGGCAAAGTTGTGAAAACCTTTCCAAGTGAGGACAACAAAGTGCGCAAAGCAGAGATTCGCATTTCAAGAGATGGCAAGACATCTACGTTTATCCGTCCAGTTTCAGAGTTTGTGTTATTGATTGAGAACAGTGAAGTGTGATATCTGATGATATCAGGTGGGGAGTGTTCCGTCCCGGCTCCCGTAGTTGTAACATTTTGGAACTCTTCTGTTTCCGGTTTACAATGTCGACCGCATGGCTGCGGCTCTGCAACACTTATGTTTTTTATTGTTTAAATACCTGCTGCTGACCACAGTGTAAGTTCATATTTCGTGAAA